CTGCCCAGGCTGCCCTCAAATATCAGTCCTCCTGAGTAGCTAGGATTACAGGTGTGAGGCACCATGACTCAGCCTGATCACATTAAAAAAAAAATATATATATATATATAAGCCTAGAGTCCACCAGAAGACTATTAAAACAATTCATTAAAGTTGCAGGACATGAAATCAACATAGAAAACTTAGTAAGGATGGGTATGAGTGGCTCACACCTGTAATCCTAGTGACTCAGGAGGCTGAGATCTGAGAATCACAGTTCTAAATCAGCCAGGCAGGAAAGTTCAGGAAACTCTTATTTCCAATTAACCACCAAAAAACTGGAAGTAGAGCTGTGGCTCAAGGGATAGAGCATTAATTGTGAGCAAAAAAGCTTAGAAATAGTGGCCAGGCCCTGGGTTCAAGCCCCAGGACAGGCAACCGCCCCCCCCCCCCCAACACACAATCAGTAGGATGCTTATACATAATACCAAGATTGCTGGAAAAGGAAATCATGAAAGCAATTCCAATCACATCTTTGAAATGTCTTTCCCTTGCCTCGGCCTCTGTAGTATACCATCAACCAAGTTCAGTTTCTAATAGGAAAGATCATCTCTAACAAGAATATTTCCAAGTGGGGCACTGGTGGCTCATGCCTGTAATCCTAGCTACTCAGGAGGCTGAGATCTGAGGATCACGTTTCAAAGCCAGCCGGGGCAGGAAAGTTCATGAAACTCTTATCTCCAATTAACCACCAGAAGACTGAAAGTGGTGCTGTGGTTCAAGTGGTAGAGTTCTCACTTTGAGCTGAAGAGCTGAGAGACAGATCAAGCCCCAAGACTGACAAAAAAAAAAAAGAGTATTTCCATACTGCTCCATACTGGTGGTTTGGCCCCACCAAAAGATGAATTGGAAAGAAGAGTCTGAAAAGCTTCCTTGGGGAAGAGAAGATTAAGGAAGAAGGTGATTGCCATGAAAGTTCTAGAACTTTTTCTAAAAATTGTGCTATTCTTAGGGTTTGAACTCAGGGCCTGGGTTCTGTCCTTTCGCTTTTGTTGCTCAAGGTTGGTGCTCTATCACTTGAGGCACAGCTCCACTTCTGGCTTTTTGGTGGTTAATTAGAGGTAAGAGTCTCATAAGACTTTCCTACCCCAGGCTGGCCTTGAAACACGATCCTCAGATCTCAGCTTCCTGAGAAGATAAGAGTACAGGCATAACTATGGTCAATTGGCTCTAGCACTTTGGCAGAGCCCTGGGTGGCAAGGAAGAAGGGAGGGAGCAGGGAGCTCTTCACTGCTGTAATGAAGCAAGCACTTGCAGTTATTTTTCCATGGACAAAATGTCCAGCCCTTCCTGGGATTCAGACTCCCGATGCTGTTCAATAGATGCACAGTTCAAGGTCCTGAATCTGAACTTTCTCACCACAGAGATAAGTCAGCCATTTCTACTGGCTAACAATGATTAATCCACCTCCACTTGTTTTTCCCAATATGTTTTTTCTAGCAAATGAGCTGGGTCATTCACTCTGAGTTTAATAGCAGTTGAACTGGCCAATGTCTATTACTAAACACTTCACCTATTGATCACTTAGTATGAGAGGAGAGGGCAGGGGAGAGGGGGAAAGAGAAGGCAAAAGAAAGGAAGGAAAGAAGGAAGGAAGGAAGGAAGGAAAGAAGGAAAGAGTGTCACCCCCTAATGGGCAGCAGATATTTCTAGAGTCTTAGCATACCTGGATTTTTTTTTTATTTATTATTTTTTTTTGCCAGTCGTGGGGCCTGAACTCTGGGCCTGGGCACTGTCCCTCAGCTTTTCAGCTCAAAGCTAGTGCTCTACTACTTGAGCCACAGCACCACTTCCGGCTTTTTTCTGCTTATGTGGTACTGAGGACTCGAACCCAGGGCCTCATACATGCAAGACAAGCGCTCTACCACTGAGCCACCTTCCCAGCCACCTTCCTAGAATTTTTTTTATCAGACCTGGCACTCCTTATCAACACAAGCATTCTCCCCAAGTTCCTCAGAAGATAGGATTCTGCATTTGTTCACCACATGCTGAGCACATGACAGAACCTGACATAGAGATGCTGGCTCCTCACAGCCCTGCTGAGACCTAGACAGTGGCCTTTGGATATTTTGTCAGAAGAACTGCTCTGTTTGCCCTCAATTCACCTCAGATCCTAGAAACTCCAGTTCCAGGGATCACCACAGTAGTTACTCAATACTTTCTAAGGTGACTTGTCTGGTAGTGGGATGAAGATGTCTCTTCTGGTGGGGCCCACTACCTATGGCCCCAAAGCCCTGACAATGCAGAACACAGGTCTCAGCTCCCACCACTTAGCACATGCTTCCTCTGCAGCTCACCAAAGCCTCCTTTGCCTCCCCTGCTCTCTAGGCAAGGAGTGGTAGGAAGGTTGATTAGACCATCAGAGACAACATGGCTGATTGGAGTTAACTTAAGCTAGTGGGGAGCCCACTGGGGTGGGGATGAGACTCTAGATCTTTTCTCCTGGACAATATTTTAACCATTTCCAGTAGGGAATGATGTAAACCTTGCTATAAAGCCATGAGCTCTGTGTTTTGTGTTGGTTTATACTGTCCTCAGCCAACCCCTTACAGATCAATATGAACTTCTGATGGGAAATTCAAGTGGGTTTCTGGGTGTGTGTGTGTGTGTATGTGTGTGTATGTGTGTGTGTGTGTATGTGTGTATGTGCTCACTCATGTAGATGCACACTCATGCACATACTCATGAACACCAGTTCTCGGGCTTGAACTCAGGGCCCTTGGCTCACCCTTGGACTTTTTCACTCAGTACTGGTGCTCTACCATTTGAGCCACACCTCTATGTCCCACTTTGTGCTGGAAGTCTCATGGACTTCTCTGCCTTGAACTTGATTCTCAGATCTCAGTCTCCTGAGTAGCTAGGATTATTGGACCAGCTCAAGTGGGTTTTAAAACATTTTAATGCAGGGCTGGGAAGGTGGCTCAGTAGTAGAGTGCTTGCCTTGCATGCCTGAGACCCTGGGTTCGATTCCTCAGCACCACATAAGCAAAAAGAAAAAAGCCGGAAGTGGTGCTGTGGCTCAAGAGGTAGAGCGCTAGCCTTTAGCTGAATCGCTGAGGGACAGTGCCCAGGCCCAGAGTTCAGGCCTCACAACCTGACCCCCCCCCCCAAAAAAAAAAAACATTTTATTGTCACTGGCTCCTCCTTTACAGATGCATTAGTTTGTCACCTAATTCATTTCCTTGCGCTCTTCTGCTGATTATAAAAACATGAATGAAGGAAAAACTCAAGATATTGAAACCCTTTCTCAAAAATTACTAAATTAAATTACTAAATTAAAATTACTAAAAAAATTTGTTTCCAGTCTCTAGTTACTAATTTTGAGTATTCTTACTCAGAACCACATGTTTAGCATTTTGTTGTTACAGTCTATTATTTAAAATCATGACTAAGTCAGACACTGGTGGTTCACACTAATAATCCTAGCTACTCAGAAGGTTGAGAGCCGAGGATCACGGTTCAAAGCCAGTCTTGGCAGGAAAGTCTGCAAGACTCTTATCTCCCATAAGCCAGCAAAATCCCAAAGTAGAGGAAGTAGACATGTGGCTCAAGTGGTAGAGTATCAACCTTGAACTGAAAAAGCTAAGGTACAGCTGGGAAGGTGGTTCAGTGGTAGAGCGCTTGTCTTGCATGCATGCGGCCCTGGGTTCAATTCCTCAGCACCACATAAGCAAAAAAAAAAAAAAGCCGGAAGTGGCGCTGTGGCTCAAGTGGTAGAGTGCTAGCCTTGAGCTGAAGAGCTGAGGGACAGCGCCCAGGCCCAGAGTTTAGGCCCCACGACCGGACCCAAAAATTTAGAAAAAAAAAAAAAAAAAGCTAAGGTACAGTACCCTGACTCTGAGTTTAAGCCCCAGTACTAGCATGCAGAAATAAATAAATAAGCCTGCTACTGGTCACTCATGCCTGTAATCCTAGCTACTGAGAAGGCCAAGATCACAACTCAAAGCCATTCTGGGAAGGGAAGTCCTTAAGACTTTTATCTTAAGTTAACTACCCACAAGGTCAAAATAGAGTATGGCTGTAGTGGTAGAGTGCTAGCATTGAGTGAAAATACTCAGGGACAGTGTCTAGGCCGAGTCAAGCCCCAGGACTGGCACAAAGTTAATTGATTAATTAATTAATTAAAACATTAAAAGAATAATATTATGAAGTAAAAATAAAACCCCAAAGGTCTCAACTTTAAAGTCATTAAATAAATTAATCACCTCTTTTAGAAATGATTATGTCCTGGCCCTGACAGATATGGAGCCAATCTGAATTGATCTCCCAAACCAGAAGCCAACCCCAAACCCTAATTAGTTACAGAAGAACCAAGAAGCAACAGTTCCCAGTAAAACAGAACTTACTGCTGTATATTTTCAACTAACAACTGCAATTAGAACACAGAGGCTTTTCTTTATCCCCAAATAAGTGCCACTGTAGACTTAGAAAATCAGACACCCGGGCCGGGAAAGTGGCTCAGTGGTAGAGTGCTTGCCTTGCATGCATGAGGCCCTGGGTTTGATTCCTCAGCACCACATAAGCAGAAAAAGCCAGAAGTGGCGCTGTGGCTCAAGTGGTAGAGTGCTTGCCTTGACCTGAAGAGCTGAGGGACAGCATCCAGGCCCCAAGTTCAAGCCCAAGGACTTGTAAACTCTCTCTCTCTCTCTCTCTCTCTCTCACACACACACACACACAAAGAAAAGAAAAGAAATCAGACACCTTTGCAAGAATTGTAGTGGAATTAGACTCTGCCCTGTGTCTGGCCTGGTTTCAGGGACCAGGAGGGCAGCCCCATGCACCGTCACGCAGCATGCCCAAGTTAATAATTGGCCCTGCCGATCAGGCTGTTTTTGTATGCCCATTTTGCTATTTTACGTAAATCAACTTACTGATGATGTACCTTTGATCAATAGATTTTAGACAAAAGTATTTTTTGAGTCCAAAGATCAGGGCTGGGCTGACCTGCAGACTGGATACAAGGCATATAAAACAGAGGCAAGGCACAGACTGATCACAGAGCAATCATCACCAAGCCTGAAATATCTGCACTGATTCTGTTGGAAGCTTACTGAGGTAGTCAGGGAATAAGGATGGAGGAAGGAATGAATGCTCTCCATGATTTTGGGATCCAGTCAACGCACTATCTCCAGGTGAATTACCAAGATTCCCAGGACTGGTTCATCTTGGTGTCTGTGATTGCTGACCTCAGGAATGCCTTCTATGTCCTCTTCCCCATCTGGTTCCATCTTCAAGAAGCCGTGGGCATCAAACTCCTCTGGGTAGCTGTGATTGGAGACTGGCTCAATCTTGTCTTTAAGTGGTAAGTACCACTTAAAAGTCAAGAAATGAAGCTAGGGGGCTGGGAAGGTGGCTCAGTGGTAGAGAGCTTGCCTTGCATGCATGAGGCCCTGGGTTCAATTCCTCAGCACCACATAAGCAGAAAAAGCTAGAAGTGGCTCTGTGGCTCAAGTGGTAGAGTGCTAACCTTGAGCTGAAGAGCTGAAGGACAGCGCCCAGGCCCAGAACTCAAGCCCCACAACTGACAAAAAAGAAAAAAGAATCAAAGCTAGTATTCTCTCTGGAAAGGTCGGTCCCTTAGTGGGTACACTTGCTATTTTACTCAGAAAGCCACAGGTCATTTCTCCCTTAATTTGGGATTCTCTACCTAGAGAAAGAAGACTGCTAAAATCCTGTCAGTGAAAGTTAGAAACACAGGAAAGCTCATTTCATAGGAACTGAAGTGGTAGAAGGAAAGTTGGATTTAGTGAAAAGTCTGAGTACAGACTTGAAGCAAAGAATCTTAGTTTCAGCCAGCTGTTGGTGGCTCATTCCTATAATTCTAGCTACTCAGGAGGTTGAGAGCTGAGAATCCAGGCAGAAAAGTCCATGAGACTCTTATCTCCAACTAACCAGCAAGAAACCAGAAGTGGAGGTGTGGCTCAAGTGGTAGAATGCCAGTCTGGAGCAAAAAACCTAAGAGACAGTGTGTAGGACCCAAATTTACACCCTAGTACTGGCACATGTACGCGCGCGCGCACACACACACACACATATACACAATTCATTAAACATTTAATATTTGCTGAGCTATGTGATTTTGCATGTATGGGGGGAGGGGAGTATATCCAATGTTGGAGATTTGTGTATGCTAGAAAAAATGTTCTACTGCTGAGCTATATCCCCAGCCCCAGGCCACGTGCTTTTTTGGGGGGTAAGATGGGGTACTCAGGGCCTTTTGCTGCTACACAAGCTCTCTACAACTTGAGCCACACCCTGAGCAGCCATGTGCTTTTCTGTGGGGTAGTTACTACTAAGTCACAGAAGAGGAGGGCAAAGCTCTGAGTTAAAGCCAGGCGCTGGTGGCTCATGCCTATAATCCTAGCTATCAGGAGGCTGAGATCTGAAGATCGCAGTTCAAAGCCAGCCTGGGCAGAAAAGGCCATGAGACTCTTATCTCCAATAAACCACCAGAAAACTGGAAGTGGTGCTGTGGCTCAAGTGGTAAAGCACTAGCCTTGAGCTGAAGAGCTGAGGGACAGCGCCCAGTCCCAGAGTTCAAGTCCCATGACCACCACCACCAACAACAACAAAAAAGCTCTGCATTGACTAATGAGATTAATTTGGTTAATAAATGGCAGAGCCAGCCAGCCTGGAAGCTCAGGTAAGCTTGTTCAGAAGCAACGCTATCAAAAATCAAGAGATGGAGCTGGGTGCTGATGGCTTGCGCCTGTAATCCTAGCTACTCAGGAGGCCGAGATTTGAGGATTGTGGTTCAAAGCCAGCCCATTAACCATAAGAAAACCAGAAGTAGGGGGTGGGAAGGTGGCTCAGTGGTAGAGTGCTTGCCTTGCATGCATGAGGCCCTGGGTTCGATTCCTTAGTACCACATAGTAGAAAAAGCCAGAAGTGGTGCTATGGTTCAAGTGGTAGAGCGCTAGCCTTAAGGCTCAAAGTGGTAGAGCCTTAGCATTGAATACAAAAGCTCAGGAATAGTGCCCAGGATCCAAGTTCAAGCCCTACAACCAACAAAACAAACAAAAACACAACTATAAGAAGGGGTGTATGGATCTTTTCGAGCTAGTAGAAGTCAGAGTTAGAGGCCGTCCCCAATTTCAGTGAGAAATTACTGCTCAACAGGGACAAGAAGGCATTCTGATGAACTTTGACACCTGTCTCTATAGCAAAAACTATGTCTAATACTTTTAAAGGGGAACTGGTTTGTCAGACATTTTGTTTCAAAGTGGAAAGGACACAAAACAAGTTGCCGAGGCTCTGATGGGAACAGAGACTGTGTCTCCAGAGGTGGTTGTCATGGGCCTCTGGGACTCATATTCTGATGTTAGAGGAGACACAAGTCTCTGAGGGCTGAAGACAATGAGGGAACCCATAGTAGACACAAGTTCCAAGTTGCAAGTTACAGTTTCATATGACTCCTCCCTCCACATATTTTTCTTGGGATTAGAAAAAGAAGAAGTCTCATAGCTACTATTCATAAGAATGTTTTGGATCTTGGGTTTATTATTAACAGGCAGAGCCTTGCTATGTTGTCCAGGCTGGGCTCAAAATTCTAGGCTCAGGTTATCCTGTTGCCTCAACTTCCCCAAGTAGCTAGGACTACTGGTGTATGCCACTGTACCCTATTTCTGACTATGTTTGAATAGAAAATATGTTCAAATAGTCCTTTGAGATGTGCGTCATAAAACCTCTCCCTCCAGGCTTCTCCTTAGCCACCCTGTTCTCTTTCCAGCTCCTTTCTTTCAAAAAGTCTTAGTTTCTTCTAAGTATGGTCCAAGAGTCTAAGTTTCTTCTAAGTGTGGTGCTCCACACCTGGAATGCCAGCACTTAAGAAGGAGGATCGTCAGTTTAAGGCCAGTCTGGGATACAATAGTAAGACCTTGTCTTGTGTCCAAGCATCCATGGCATAACTCCAGTCACTGCTGTGCTTTTCCACAGGATTCTCTTTGGACAGCGCCCATATTGGTGGGTCCTGGACACTGACTACTACCACAACAGCTCTGTGCCATTGATAAAGCAGTTCCCTGTCACCTGTGAGACGGGGCCAGGTGAGTGTCCCAGCCCTTGTTGTGACAGAAGCTGGGTGGACCTCCCTCAGTCTAGACACTACCGTCTATTGTGGATGAAGTTGACTTAAGGGGACATGCAGATAGCTATGACGTCATACTGCTGTCACAGTCTTGCATGCATTGGATACAACTCCATTTTAATTCACATCAGCAAAACCTTTCTGGATAGCATGTTAGGCCACTTTGATGTGTCAAAGGCCTAAGTTACTAGTCCAACAGAGGCAGGGAAGAGCTCATGAGAGTAACTGGGTCATGGCCCTTTATCTGGAGAGGAGAAAGGAATAGAAGTCTGGGCTCTGGCTCTCCTCAACAGCTTGGCCCAGTGAATACACCCCCTGGGATGACCACTTAACCCCACACGCTGCCAGATAGGAGGTACTGAGACAAATGCTAGATTACATTGTTCATTGGTAGTAGAAATATCCAATCCAGTCCTTCCCCATAATTCTTAGCAGCAGCCTCCCTTCCTCAGCACTTTCCCTGGCTCTCTGCTAGGAAGCATGCCATTGACGTAATTCAGGGCTATTTGGGGATTTTTTTTTTTGGTGCCAGTCCTGGGGCTTGAACTCAGGGCCTGGGCACTGTCCCTGAGCTTTTGTGCTCAAGGCTAGCACTCTACTATGGGAGCTATAACTCTACTTCTGGATATTTAGTGGTTAATTGATTATAAGAGTCTCAAGGACTTTTCTGGCCAGGGTTGGCTTCAAACTGAATCCTTAGATCTCAGCCTCCTGAGTAGTTAGGATTACAGGAATTAGCCATGTGTGCACCCAGATTTATTCAAGGGATTTTTTTTAATTTTTTAAATTTATTATTTTTTTATTGTAAAAATACTGTACAGAGGGGTTACAAGTACATGGGCAAGATAATGAGTACATTTCTTATCAAGCATTGTAGCCTCCTCCTTTGTCAAGGGATTTTTTTGGAGAGAGTCTCAATATGTAATTCAGACTGGCATTGAATCCCCAATTCTCCTGCCTTAGGCTCTCTGGAGTGCTGGGATAATAGGTATGCACTACCTCACTCCAGCTAGTATTTATTAAACTATTATTTATCTACTAAGTTCCCTCCAGTGCTAGGGGTACTTTTATCAGCCACCAAAACAAATATTTCTGGTCCTGTGGAGCTGAAATTGAACGTAGGGCTGTAGGATACAGAAATCATATTAAGTAAGTAAAATAAGTAGGATATTAGGATATGATCCCTTATATTGAAGAAGGAGAAAAGGAAGAGAGAAGAAGGCTTTTCCTTAGAAAGCTGACTCCAGTGGATATGAGCAAGAATAAGAGCCATATTCATGGAAGGGAAGGGATACCTCAATAGGGTAGATGGCAAATTGCAGTCATGATTCAGCCACCCAGTCATATACGGAGCTCTGAAACTGGGCTCTTTGGAGTTTATTTGAATGGGTCACCAGTTTTTGGGTGCAGATTCTCCTAGAAAGATGGTAATCTTGATCTCCAGTCCAGAGAAATGTCCAGAAATGCTATCAACTGAGGGTCATCCACAACTATACTCTTAACAGCTGGAAAATAGGTCTTTCAGCCCTGGGGGGGTGGGGGGGGAAGGGTTCTAGTGGAATATCCCAGAGCCCTCTGGCCTTCAGAATAGAAGAATCAAGAGCAAGAACCAGCTGCTATGTTAAATAGGCTGGTCAGAAGCCAGGTGCTGGTAGCTCTTACCTGTAATCCTAATTACTCAGGAGGCTGAGATCTAAGGATTGAAATTTAAAGCCAGTTTGGGCAGACACAGCCAAATGACTCTTCTTTTTTTTTTTTAACCAGTCCTGGGGCTTGAACTAAAGGGCCTGGACACTGTCCCTGAGCTTTTTTTGCTCAAAGCTAGCAGTCTTCTACTTGAGGTCACAGTTCCACTTCTGGCCTTTTCTGTTTATATGCTACTGAGGAATTGAATTCAGGGCTTCATGCATACTAGACAAGCCCTCTACCACTAAGCCATATCCCCAGCCCCAAAATGACTCTTATCTCCAACAAAACATCAAAAAGCTAGAAGTCAGCCAGGCACCAGTGGCTCATACCTATAATCTTAGCTACTCAGGAGAATGAGATCTGAGGATCGCAGTTCAAAGCCAGCCCCAGCAGGAATTATCTCCAATAAACCACCAGAAAAATGGAAGTAGTGCTGTGGCTCAAGTGATAGAGCGCTAACCTTGAGCTGAAGAGCTCAGAGACAGCACCCAGGCCCAAAAATTCAAGCCCCCAAGACTGTCAAAAAAAAAAAAAAAGCTAGAAGTCAAAGTGTGGCTTGAGTGGTAAAGTGCCAAGTTTGTGCAAAAAAGCTAAGTAAGAGTTCCAGGCCCTGAGTTTAACACCCAGTACCAGCCCCCAAATAGGTAGTGTGGCTCAAGTGGTAGAGCGCTTGCCTTGAGCTGAAGAGCTCAGGGACAGCACCCAAACACAGAGTTCAAGCCCCATAACCGACAAAACAAACAAACAAACAAAACCTCAAAAAAAACCTAGAGCCAGCCTAGGGCGCTGGTGGCTCATGCTTGTTATCCTAGCTGCTCAGGAGGCTGAGATTTGAGACGGTGGTTCAGTCTGGGCAGGAAAGTCTGTGAGACTCTTACCTCCAATTAACCACCAGAAAACCAGAAGTGGCACTGTGGCTCAAAGTGGTAGAGCACTAGCTCTTCGGCTCAAGGACAGCTCCCAGGCCCAGAGTTCGAGCCGCATGACAGACAAAAAAATATAGATAGATAGATAGATAAATAGATAGATAGATAAACTAGCCAGACTAAGCTCCTTGAAAAGTCTAGCTGGAGGAGGCAAAGTTGTTGGGCAGGGAAATTCTGAGAGGATAGCAGTGTAATGGCCCTGAGGTGAAAGCATGTTGTATAGGTTTAAAGGAGAGTAATGATGCCAGCACAGCCAAAGCAGAGTGAGCCTAGGGAAGGGAAGAGAAGAGAAGCAATGGTGGGCATATCAGTGAGCAACTGCACATATACTATGCTGATTCTCTGGGTGATCATCAGATTGTATGCTGTTACAAAAACAAGGACCTTCTTTGGCTTTGCCTACCATTGCACTTACAGCCTATGCAAAGCTTGGCATAAGAGTTCATCTGGTACTTGTAGGCTAAATGGATAGATAAATGGATAGAAGGATGGCTAGACAGATGCCTGATCACTGTGTAGATAGTACCTGTTGCTAGTCCCTCATATGGAGACCTTTCATCTTTAGCCCCTGCATCTCTTTCCCACTCTATAGGGAGTCCTTCTGGCCATGCTATGGGTGCAGCAGGTGTGTACTACGTGATGGTCACATCTACCCTCGCCATCTTTCGGGGAAAGAAGCCGACATACCGATTTCAGTAAGAACTCACTGTTGGGATGTGGGTGCTGGAGGGTATGAGCTGTCTGTCTCTGTAGCTGATGTGCTGCTTGTTTTTTCCCCACATTCCCTAGCTTTGTTCTCACACCTAAGGTTGGCACTGATAAAATGGTGCCACTTCTGCTGAGGTTAAACATAGAGTCAGAGAATATGAAACCTTTGTTTCATACAAGGAAAATAGGCCTAACAGCATGAAGGGGCTCTAAACATTAGGTGATGATAGCCCACATTCGTGGATCAACATAAGTAATAGTATGAAAATGGCTATACTACCAGCAGCAATCGAAAGACTCGATGCAATCTTCACCAAAGTCTCATTGCCATTCTTCATAGATATAGTAACGTCAGTTCTAGAGCTGGGTACCAATGCCTCATCTGTAATCCTAGTTACTCAGGAGGCTGAGACCAGAGGATTGTGGTTTGGAGACAGCTTAGGCAGAAAAGTCAGGGAGATTTCATCTCCTTACCAGTAAAATGTTGACTATGACCAGGAATAGAGCATAAGCCTTGAAAAAATTGCCAAGAAAGATCTTAAGGCCCTGAGTTCAAGCCCCAGCGTCAACACACACACACATACACACACACAAATAAAGTGGGAAGAAGAGAGAATATGTATAATTAATAAATGTTAATAAAATTAAAATGCATATCTATAGTACAAAATTATATATATACACAAATATACTATTATACAATTAGTATAAAAAATTAGTAGGGACAAGTAAGTTCAAGTTGAAAATAAAAACTGTCTGGCACTGCCTGGCTCATACCTGTAATCCTAGCTACTCAGAAGGCTGAGATTTGAGGATTGTAGTTCAAAGCCAGCCCAGGAAGAAAAGACTGTGAGACTCTTATATCCAATAAGCTACTCAAAAAAAAGCCTGAAGTGAGCTATGGCTCAAGTGATAGAGTACTAGTCTTGAGGAAAAAAAAAGAAAAGCTCAGGAAGAGTGCCCAGGCTCTCAGTTCACTCCCCAGGACTGGTACTACTACTACTACTACTACTACTACTACTACTACTGCTGCTGCTGCTGCTGCTGCTGCTGCTGCTGCTGCTGCTGCTGCTGCTACTAAACACTGAGGAAATTTAAGAGGAAAAAGTCAGCGCAGTCACTGAGTTGCAGTACTGCAGTGTGCAGCCCCCTTGCTTCCTGATGCTCCATCTGCCACCTCACTGGCTTTCCCCACAGCTGCCTTCCATAGGCCATTTCTACCAAGGGAAAGAAATTGTACTGTTGTGTCGACTATCCAGAACTTCCACTGTTTTCACCCCTTTGTTGAAGCCAGTAAGATGATGGCCTGATTCCTCTTGGCACTGAGGATTATAGCCATATAAAATTCAACAGAGAAAACCAGAAAAAAAAACCTTAAAACTGCCCAAGAATTGCTGATGATTATGATTTTTAAAAATGCTACTGCAGTCATTGAAGAAGAAATCTGTGAGCCAGTCACTAGTGGCTCATCCCTATAATCCTAGATACTCAGGAGGCTGAGATTTGAGAATTACAGAAGCCAGCCCAAGGCACCCCTCCCCCCAAAAAAAATCCATGGGACTTTTATCTCCAATTACCCTACCAAAAAATAGAAATGGAGATCTGGGTCAAGTGGTAAAGACCAGCCTTGAGTGAAGAAGCCAAAAGAAAGTGCCAGGCCCTGAGTTCAAGTCTGTTTCAGCACAAAAAAAGTGGAAGGAGGAAGAGAAAGAGGAGAAGGAGGAAGAGGAGGAGAAAAGAAGGGAGATGGAGAAGGAGAAGATGCAGCAGCTGTGCACTGGTGGCTGATGCCTGTAATCATAGCTACTCAGGAGGCTGAGATCTGAGGATCACCCTGGGAGGAATGTCTGTGAGCCTCTTATCTCCAATTAACCACCAGAAAACTGGAAGTGGTGTTGTGGTAAAAAGTAGCAAAGCAGGGCTGGAAAGGTGGCTCAGTGGTAGAGTGCTTGCCTTGTATGCATGAAGCCCTGGGTTCGATTCCTCAGCACCACATAAGCAGAAAAAGCTGGAAGTGGCACTGTGGCTCAAGTGGTAGAGTGCTAGCCTTGAGCTGAAGAGCTGAGGGACAGCACCCAGGCCATAGTTCAGGCTCCACGACTGGACCTTAAAAAAAAAAGTAGCAAAGCATTAGCCTTGAGCAGAAAAGTTCAGGGACAACAGCTAGTCCCTGAGTTCAAGCCCCATGACTGACAAAAAAAAAGGAGGAGGAGGAGGAAAAAAGGGTGCACATACGTGTGTGCATGTGTGTGCACACACACACACACAAACACACATCTCCTTCAAATCACCTAGGTTTGCCAGCTTTCAGGGCTATTTTCTTCCCTGATGTATCTACATCTGTGTTCTATTATGGTTGATTAATACATTTGTTGTTGTTGCAGGTGCTTGAATATCATCCTGTGGTTGGGATACTGGGCTGTGCAGTTGAATGTCTGTCTGTCACGGATCTACCTTGCGGCTCACTTTCCTCACCAGGTTGTGGCTGGCGTTCTGTCAGGTATGAACTGCTCTGACTCCCTCTCACCCAACTTACTATTTATCCCCAATCAGAATATAACCCCAGGCATGTCCTACATACCCACAATGCTATTAGAACTTCAGTAGATGCAAGTCAAGGGCAGGTGATTTGAAATGATTAATCTCTATTAGCAGATCTATATATTAAGTGTGTTCCTGAAATATTGTAACAGCTCTTCAGCTCAAGGCAAGTGCTCTACCACTTAAGCCACAGCACAATTTCTGGTTTTCTGAGGTGTGAGCCCCTCCCTCCCTCTCCCTTCTTCCTTCCCTCCTTCCCTCCCTCCCCTCCCTTCCTTCCTTCCTTCCATCCTTCCTTCCCCTCTGAGGGGTTTCATGTAGAAATAGGAGCACTGACCCCAACAGGAAGCTTAAATATGGTAGGAGTTGTGATATGACTGGGGCCTGAACTCAGGACCTTGTGCTCTTGCTGAGATTTTTTGCTGAAGGCTGGTGCTCTACCACTTGAAGCATACCTCACTTCCAGCTTTTTGCTAGTCAACTAGAGATAATAGTCTCACAGGTTTTTCTGCTTGGGCTTGTTTAGAACATCAGTCCTCAGATCTCAGCCTCCTGAGTAGCCAAGATGACAGGTTCCATCAACCTATAGAACTAAGCTACAGAGCTGGGCGCCGGTGGCTCACGCCTGTAATCCTAGCTACTCAGGAGGCTGAGATCTGAGGATCACAGTTCAAAGCCAGAAAGGGCAGGAAAGTCTGTGAGACACTTATCTCCAATAAACCACCAGAAAACTGGAAGTGGCGCTGTGGCTCAAGCAGTAGAGCACTTGCCTTGAGCTGAAGAGCGCAGGGATAGCGCCCAAGTCCAGAGTTCAAGTCCCACAACTGACAAAAAAAAAACAAAAAAAACTAAGCTACCAGCACCCAGCTATAATATGACTCTTCCATCTAAGAGGCTCTGCTGAGGACATGTTGAAGTTGCAAATAGTATCTGTGATTTTATTCCACAATACAGGATGGATGGCATGTCACCCATTGCTCCAAATCCACCTCTACTGAATGCCCAGAATCCTCCTTTTCTTTGTATTTGTTTTTGTGCTGGTACTAATGCTTGAACTCGGGGCCTGAGTGCTGTCTCTTAAGCTTTTCACTCAAGGATGGTGCTCTACCACAGTTGTGTTCTGAGCCACAGCTTCAGTTCCAGCTTTTTGGTGGTTAATTGGAAATCAGAGTCCCACAGATTTTCCTGCTCAGGCTGACTTTGAATGTTGATTCTCAGATCTCAGGCTCCTGAGTAGCTGAATATAGGCATGAACCTAGATTCCTCTCTTTCTTACAGTCATTCTTTCTTCTGTTTAGGCATTGCTGTTGCTGAAACCTTCAACCACATCCAGAGCATCTACAAGGCCAGTCTCAAGAAATATTTTTTCATTACCCTCTTCTTGTTCAGCTTTGCCATTGGATTTTACCTGCTGCTAAAGGGGCTGGGGGTGGACCTCTTGTGGACTGTGGAGAAAGCCAAGAGATGGTGTCAACAGCCAGAATGGGTCCATATTGACACTACACCCTTTGCCAGCCTCCTCAAAAACCTGGGGACCCTCTTTGGCCTGGGGCTGGCTCTCAACTCCAGCATGTACAAGGAGAGTTGCAAGGGAAAATCCAGCAAGGCGCTCTCATTCCGTCTCAGCTGCATCGTGCTCTCCCTTGTGCTCCTGCACCTCTTCGACTCTTTGAAACCCCCCTCCAAAATCGAGCTGATCTTCTATGCCTTGTCCTTCTGCAAGAGTGCCACAGTGCCGTTGGCCTCTGCCAGTCTCATCCCCTACTGCCTTTCCCGGTTCCTGGGCCAGTCACACAAGAAGTCTTTGTAAAGCATTACGGAGTCTCAAGTGTTTAAAAGTCAGTGACTGCCAGAAATTTAGAGGGGACCAGAGGTCGCCTGCAGCCCATTCTGAGGCCAGACGTGTGAAAGTCAGCTCAGGTGACTTTCAGATCCTAATGCTATTGGACGATGGTTTACTGTTTTGTTTAAAAGCTAATGAGGACACTGGACTCTTAGAAGTTGGGTCATTCTGGATTTTTCCCTGAAGACCTACTTAACCTATTCTCCAGTCAGATATACAAAAGCAAAACTTCCAGAGAGAGAAAGCAGCTCACAAGCCCAACTGAGAATTTCCTGCCTGTGCTCAGCCTTGCCAGGGGAAGGAGAAAGGTGGAATGCATTTGGTAAAGGGGGAGAAGGTGGATCAAGGAGGAGTTTTTAGTATTTTTCATATATCATGCAAAATATGTGCCAAGTGATCACTCACATAAGTTCAATTATGTTTCTTTTGAGGCTTTTTTTTTTTTTTGCCTGTCCTGGGGCTTGAACTCAGGGTCTGGGTGCTGTTCCTGAGCTTCTTTTGCACAAGCCTAGCACTCTACCACTTGAGCCACAGTGCCACTTCCAGCTTTTTCTGTTTATGTGGTACTGAGGAATTGAACCCAGGGCTTCATGCATGTTAGGCAGGCATTAGACCACTAAGTTACATTCCCAGCCCCCCACCTTGTTTTTGTGTACATACTGAGGCTTGAACTCAGGGCCTGGAGCTCTGGCTTGGCTTTTTTGCTAGAGGCTACTGCTCTGCCATTTGAGCCATATCTCCACTTCCAGTTTTCTGCTGGTTAATTGGGCATAAAAAGCTCACTGATTTTTCTGCCCAGGCAGGCTTTGAATTTCCAATCCTCATCTTTGCCTCCTGAGTTGCTGAGTGTACAGAAGTGAGCTACCAGTATTGAGTTTTTCAATTATATTTGAATCCTTTTATGTATACTCTCAATAATGGTGGGCCAATTTAAAGTATAATCTGTAGGCAATTAGTGGGGTGATTCTGCTTTTGGTATTTTTCTACTCAACTCAAATGGTCAGGGTACTTGGGTTTCTGAGTTGTTGCAGTGATGGAGAACTTGTACTAGGTCAGAATATTCAGGCATCATTGACTCCTACTGTATTATATTACATCTTCCTCTGCACCCACCCAGTTCTGCTTTCTCCTAGAATTTTCCACTGGCTCCTCAGTCATTCTTTGGATCCTCAGATGCCTAAAGGGCAACTCTCTGGTGGTGCTTTTGTATGTTTCAGTTCCACTCTGAAATTTGGGGCAAAATGGTAAGGAGAGGGCCAGGATTCCTCTCTCTAGAAGGTCACTCCAATGTTACCTTTGATTTCTGGAGGGTAAATATGACTCCTTTCTCAATTCCAACCAAGCAAGAGCACATTCTCAGAGGAAAGCCCCACTCCTCCACGCCTGTTCTCCAGTCTCAGCTGATTTGCAGAGTATGTCTTGGGGGGAAAATGCTAACGCCTATTTATTTGAGCCTTGTTTTTGCTACTCATGATATATATACTACCATATTATTATCATTTGCACCAACCATCCTGCAGCTAACAACTTTGAAAAATATATAATATATACAGTATTTTATTAAAACATTTTATTTAAGAATGAAGTCTTGTTTATCATTTTAGATGCAACAAGTTCTAAGTTTAGAGATCTCTCTCTGTTTTCCTAAACAAATTATTTGGCTCCTCTGTGCCTTCATTCATCATTCATGCATTCCATTCATTTACTGCGCAAGCACTGGGGCTTGACCTAGAGGCTTCAGATTCTCTCTTAGCTTGTTCACTGAAGGCTGGTGTTCTACTGTTTGAACCAGCCTCCACTTCTAGCTTTCTGGTGGTCAATTGGAGATAAGAATCTCACAGACTTTCCTGCCCCCAGCTGGTTTCAAACCATGGTCCTCAAAAATCTCAGCCTCCTGAGTAGTTAGGATTATAGGTGTGAGTCACCAGTGGCCTGGCTACATTTCTTATAGAGAAGGAAAACTGTTTGAAGTTGTCCAGGACTTCCAACAGGGGTACAGAGACTTCTAAGGTATGCATGGGGCCTGAGTTGAGCATTTTCAACATGGGCTTAATATTGGCATAGAATGTTACCACACACAGGCTCCATTTGCTCACTGCTCCATGGAAGCCAATTAGTTAAAAGATTGAGGCACTCAAAGAGAAAGAACATTATTATTATAAGCCAGCTGAAAAGAGAAGAAAGAAAGAAAGGAAGAAAGAAAGAAAGAAAGAAGAAAGAAAGAAAAGAAATGAAAGAAAGAGCTGGGCGTCGGTGGCTCACGCCTGTAATCCTAGCTACTCAGAAGACTGAGATCTGAGGATCAAGGTTCAAAGCCAGCCAGGGCAGGAAAGACCGTGAGACTCCTATCTCC